CTGGGCTCCATTGTAGGTTAGGTCTACTTCTGTCACTTCACCTGATACTTTTTTTAAGGAGGTGCGATAGGTGGTAGGAATGTGGATTCTACATTCTGATTGCATGGATTTAAACACGGACTCTGCCACTTATTGGTTGTGTGATATAGGGTGGGTTAGTTAATCCTTCTATGCTTCAATCTGCTCATCTGAAAATTACCTCATAGGGTTATTGTCAGGTTCACTGGAATCAATTTACTTAAAGAGTTTAAAATAATGCCTGCTGTCTAATATGTACTATATAGATGTTAGCAATTTATTTTTTTCCTGTTTTTTTTAAGGTTTCACCTGTCTGCTCTGTGAAGACAGGGAGTAGCTATTTCTTATCTATCATTTAATCTTTCAGCCCAAGCACAGAGCTAGATTCATATAAATAAGGTGTTTTCTGGGTGGTTGGCTTGAATAAATCAATGGTCAGTTAGGAGATTCTAGTCCAGCTACTTTTTCCTCTGCAATAATGGGACAATCTTATTTGAAAGGGTATCTGTGATTAAATATTTAACAATGCATAACCAAAAAGTCCTATTCATGAGTAACTCTTATCCCAAATGTTTATCTATTCATTGGTAGAGCTGCATTATTACAAGAGTCTCAAATATATATATATATATATATATATATATATATATATATATATATATATATATAGCTCAGTGAAATCACAGGTTTCTTTTAAAACACCTATCTTTTTTTCTCAAGGTTGACATTTTAAAGAGCAATGACAGATGCAATGTTCTCTCACACAAGTACAGAGTAATTCATTAACATACATATGAAAGGAAGAAGTCTACATTCAACCTTTACCACCAAAGTCCTTGAGAAATAAAAGAAATTCAAAGCAGCTACAAGTGTAGCTTGTAAAAAGTCAAACTGGTTTTATCATTCAAGAACACCAGGTTGGTAGCAGGAGCTTTTGGTAAATAGACACCTGCAGAATTTGCTTTAGGGTTGAGGTTGGGGGGAAAAAGGAAGAGCTTAAAATAAAAAATCTATCTGAGAATTTGGAATGACAGAATCTTATGTGGAAGAAGTGAAGGGGTCTGTTTTTGTAATCAAGTAATTCAAAACATACCTTTAATAAGTCTTGTCTTGGTCACAGAGCTGGTTAAGGACAGATTTGATTTGATTTGGAAAGACATTTCATGATAGATAGCTTTGTATACATGGACCACATTTCAGCATGGTTTCATGGTGGGATGAATCAGGATGAGGCAAAATGTTATGGGCTGAGTCTAAAATAAACTCTGAGGGTGTTTTTGAATTGCTGAACATCCAGATAAAAGTTACAAACAAAAGCCATCAATTATCTAGAGGTATGTACCTACAGAGTCTTTCCCAGGGACAGGTTAGGTTCTGAAAGGCTGTTCATAGTTCATTTGTTCTGAAGGTCAAAGTGACACTATACAATTGACTGCCAACCTGTAGGGAGCAGAGTTATTGATACAATTTTGTTTTGATGTATATCTTTGTTCTTACTATAGAAATTCACATGAGTAGGGCTTCTGGACCTAACTTTTCTATCAATAAGTAGATCAAATACCTTATATTAAATGTCTTATATTAAATGTCTTACTTTGGGTTCCTTAGAAGCAGAGCCTAGGCAGACATTCAAGTCTGTATGATTTAGTGAGAGAACACTCCCAGGATAAAGGGAAGGAGGGAAGCAGGAAAGCTCCGGGGAAGGAGCTAAACAAGATGGGGTTCTCAGCTGTTGTCCAGCGTTAGCCTGATCCCCTGGGGAGTCTGGGGCATAAGTGGTAAAAGAGGTGCAGCCGTGGTCGCTAAAAGCTGGAGATGGGCACACTGTCCATTTACAGGGATCTGGACAGGGTATCAACAGCATCTATCACCAGGATTATTGTGAAGTTTACTATCTTGAAGATACGGCATAATATTTTCACAAGTACTATGCCAAGAGCAAATTAAATTTAAAAAGCACACATATTTTGTGTGGGCAGTGTTGGGGAAGGACTGACTACTATAAGATGAAAGGCATGAGTTTTACAGTCTCTACTTTTATACTCAAGTTTCACCTGGTTCTCTAACAACGTACCTTTAAAAAAGCACCAATCTCTGTGAGGCTCAGGCTCTTAATCTGTGAAATAGGAACAACAATAGCATCTATCTCCTATGGTGGTTGCTGGGCTCAAGAAAGGTAACATATATATGTCAAAGCACCTAAAAGTCTTGAAAACAAGAGATGAAGAAACTCGTCTGGAGAAAGTGTAAAATGTAAATTAGAAGGCCTTTCTATGAGTAACTGTAGCAGTTTGAAATATGTAAATGTTTGACCAAATTGAGGGAGGCAGTAAAAAATAACAAGAAGAATTAGAGCTTTCATTTCACAAATGCCTTTAAAGGACGGGGACTTTGCAATCATGATCTCCAGTAATCCAGGTCATTGTTCTATGGATAATGCTATAATTCCATTGAATAAATTTCTTAACAGAGGCTTACTATTGTTTAGAGGTGGCCTGATTTTACCAGTAGACATTTGACAATGATAGAATTTGAACTCAGATCTGTCTGTATCGAAAATCTTACCATTCCACTACCATTGTTATCCTACATACCAAAAGCCTTTTCTACCAACATGGGCACTGTTGGGAATTTATGAAGGTGGTGGTGAGGAATTCAAATTTAATCGAAGACACAGGTCTTGTACTTTAGGAACTTTCCATTAGGCTGGAGACTAGCATTTAGACTACTTTCTCTGTACAAAGAACCAAAACAGATACTTAATAAAGAAACCTTAGTCTTTTCTTTTCTTTTAAGAATTATGATGAAGGAAAAAAAAAATCCAACTCTATTCCACTGAATTCTGATGATACTATTTAAAAAAAAATAACATAAAATTTACCATTTTAACCATTTAAAGTGCACAATTTAGTGGAATTGAATAAATTCAGATTGTGTAATCATTACTACCATTCACCTCCAGAACTTTATCATTATCCCAAACTGGAACTCTGTATTAATTAAAGTTAACTCCCGAATCTTCCTTCCACCCAGTCCCTGGAAGTCACCACTCTGCCCTCTGTCTCTATGAATTTTCCCTTCTAGTTACCTCAGATATATTAAATCATACAATATTTGTCCTGTTGTGTCTGGCTTACTTCACTTAGCAGGATTTTTTTCAAGGCTACACATGTTGTATCAGAATTTTATTCCATTTTTAAAGTAGGATAATATTCTATTCTACACGTACACACACACACACACACACACACACACACACACACACACTACATTCAGGAGGTTATTTCCACCTTTTAGCTACTCAGAATAATGCTGTTATAAGCATGGGTATATAAATATCTGTTCGAGTACTGCCTGCTTTTAAGTCTCTGAGGTAAATACATAGAAATGGAATTTCTGTGTCATGTGGTAATTCCATTAATTTTCTTCATGAACTGCTAGACTGTCTTTCAGTGACTCTACCAGTTTACATTCCTATCACCAATGCACAAATGTTCCAATTCTTCCACATCCTTGCAAACATTTGTTATTTTCTGTTTGTGTGTGTGTGTTTTACTAATAGCCATCCTAATGGGTATGAAGCAGTATCTTACTATAGTTCTGATTTACATTTTCATAATGGTTAGTGATGTTGAGCGTGTTTTCATAGGAAAACTTATTCTTGATTAGATATGTCCCTTCTATCATTTTCTCTCTTGTTTTTTTTTTTCAAAATAGCCACAAGCCTTTGTTCATATTCCACCTATCTCCATAAACTTTTGCATTATCTATTTATGCATATATAACACATTCAAATACATTTAGCAATGCATGTGTGTATATACATGAGTGTCTGTGTATATATGACCACATGCATATATGTATGTGTATATATACCTATATAATGCTTATATCTATCTATATCTATATTTATATCTGTATCTATATCATCTGTATCTATGACTAAATACACACACACACACACACATTCAGAAATAAGACTACCCCCAAAATGGCCAACCTAAAAGGAAATGGGTATGAAGCAAGGGATCTTTGGAACACAAGACTTGCAATGGCAGATAGACTCAATTCTTAATTCATGTATCTGTTGATGACTACATTGGTTCTGCAAGGTAGGCGTTGAACATATATTTTATTAGTAAAATTCCAAAACAATTACTCTTTCAAAGTAACAGAATATACCTTTCCATGAGCACCCAAGAGACTAATTGCTAACTCTTTGGCCCCCTGATATATCCTGTGAGGCAGGCGTGGGTAGAAGTGGGGTGGGGGAGGAGGTGTAAAGAGAAAAATTCAAGGCTTCTATTTCATCCATATCAACAAATATAATTACTTTCAATCAAGGCTATCCCTGGATCCAATATGAAACATTTCAGTCCCCGGCAACCCTATGTATAAAGGATATAAGAAGCCATATGTCTATTGTTCATCTGCTAATGTCCTCAAATGTCACCAAGGTAATTACTTGGATGACATTTATGTGATGCAGCTGGACATTGTTACAGTTAATATAAAGTCTGCCTTTGGCAACCACTTTATTTCCACCTACATCTAACTGTGGGTGTATGATCACATTTCCTGGGAGAATATCCACCTCCCCCAAAAGACATCTCTGTCCTCAGCTTTTTCTTCCTGTGCTCTGCACACTAATATATAATGAAAAAGAGAAGGGAAAAAAAGAAAGAAAGAAAAACAGTAATGTGTCATATATATTTTTCTTAAAATTTATATCTGAAACTTTTAGAGATATTTCTCAACATAATTTATCAAATATAATAACACAGTTATTTTCTTCCTTTTTTTCAAGAAGATTTTGACTATCCCTAGGAGTATGGATTCATTAAATGCATGCTGTCAAAACTTTTTACCTCCATAAATAATCACCCTCAAAGAACAGATGATTGGCAAAGCTAATATTTTAATATGAACAAAAATATTGTATTAAACAAACACAGGGATTAAATTTGCCCCCACAAACTCACATGCAAACTGGAGCTTCGCCTTCCGACTCAGTATTGTCCCCAGAGTGTTGGTGGCCAGGCACTGGTACATGCCAATATCTTGATCTGTGCGGGGACTACTGATTGCCAAATTGCCTCCATCCAACCTGTAGTGATAACTCATGGTAAAATCAATATCTGTGCCATTTTGCTTCCACCTTCAAGGGAAAAAAATCAAATTATGTTAGAATATACAGAGTTGGCCATTCCTTGTATTAAACAACAGGTAGCTGTACTACTAAGACCATGTATGTACGGATGTATATATTTACGTATTTATTTATTTGCTAGGACCATTTAAATCAGCAACAACAAACATGGTTACATGTGAAGACAATCCTTCAGTTTCACCAAAGATGACTGTATTTAGGAACTCAGTGATATCAACAACTAGGTTATTTGAAAGATCTTCCACTCTTGATGAATCACAAACATTCACCCAGATGTGTACAAGAAGGCAACATAACTCTTGAAATGAAAAATAAAACTGAGACATTCAGTCAATAATACTGGCCATTCTATTCCTTTAGTGACTTTTCAAATAACATATACTATACCTGAACACCCACAACCGATACTGCAAAATTGGACGTTGAAAATGATTTAGAGATAGAAATCCGAGAAGCGTATATTACAAATGGCATAAAGAAAGCCAGTAAAGATTTTACAATGCCAATTTGAGGCTGATAATAAAACAATAATAACCCACCTATTTTGGAACATGATTGTCTCTGTGAGTCTCTTACTTGGAAAATTAACCACGCAGAATATATTTCAACAGTACTTACAAATGCCAAACTAAAATTATTTAATAAAATAAATGCAGTTTGAGAGATTTTATTTTAGGCACGAAATAGTCTCTTGACTTACCTATTAGTCAACTATAGGTACATGAATTAAGTAGCAGAAGGGCCTTACAGTTGTATTTATTTTCAAAGAATGATAAGATGTTTTAGAAATTCCATTTGGTCATTTTAAGATGAATGAATACCCAGTAATTATCTTTAATCAAACCCACTTCCTCCACGTTTCACCCCTTTCTTCAAAATATCCAGACATTTTGAACTATAAATGTTGCATATTTAGTTAGATATATTCCTAGCTGTGTGTAGTCATAGAAATCATTTAGGAAGAAAGACACTTAAAAATATTGAATTAAGACAATCAGTCTTTTAGAAAAACAAATGAATGGCTGTTTCTAATGGAACATAGCCAATGTCCAAACCATGTACTTTCAGGATTTATGCCAGCTTTGCTGTTATTTTCCCCTTCATGCTAAGATCGTATTAAAAATATTTTGAAGAGGGTGGATAACTGTAAGAAAGAAATTACATTTTATAATGTTATTCTAAGTGTCATTGACTTTTTTAGGAGCGTCTTGAAATATCCAATGTAGAGACTATGGTAAATGTCTACTGTAGTATGAAAGAAATACAGACATAGGTAATCCTCTACCCTATTCAAACAGGTAAGTGATTGATCAAATATAAAATCAATCAGAGGTTTTTGATAAACTCTGTCGCTTTAAAATTATTTAGCCAATTCTTGTGTACCTCAAGTTCTTTTTAACAAAAAGAAGTTGAAAGAAAACAGCCAAAAACAGTATACTTTCTGTCAAATCTTTTTTTCTAGAGAAATTTGTACAGTTTTTTGTTCTCAATATTAAAAATCAAATATAGAAACATTTTCTGTCTTTAGGCCTTTCTCAAGATTCCAATATTCTCCTTACCAGCTTTATAATACTGTCTTTCACAATTTGCTTACAGGGCATGATCTTTGGACCTCTATGTTCCCTTTCATTTTCAAAGCAAAGGATATACCACACTTAGTTTGCCAGCTCTAATTTTGGAATCAATCGCTGAAATAACTGCTGTCATCATTACATGCTCCTAATTAAGCTCAGTAATTGTTTTTCAACACAAATTCAAAGTTGTTGGCTTAGCTGCAGCAAATGAATTTTTCACAGTATCCCCATAATCATTCTAATCACTGTGGTACAATGATTATTAAACTGTGCATATAGATCAGGGGTTCAACTCTTGGTGTGGGCTTTGTCCTAATTAATATGTTTAAATCAATGGAGAAATAGTATTAATGATTTCCAGTGATTGTCATAAACACATTACTGATAGGATTGCAGACCCAGGAGAATTTTCCTATAATGCAAAGTAGGAAATTTGCTTTAAATGACTATTTTAAGCATCTGCATTAATATCATATTAATTCCAGGAAACATAATGAATTTGAACTAAAATCTTGACCTTTTTCTGGGGAACACCCTTTAATATTAAGTAATTAAGCCCTGTATCAAGAATATAATGGCTGGGGGGGTATGTTTATTGTCCTTAGATAATATAGTATGTGTGTATGTGTTTCAGAACTGGACCTTGTGGGGCGCCTGGGTGGCGCAGTCGGTTAAGCGTCCGACTTCAGCCAGGTCACGATCTCGCGGTCCGTGAGTTCGAGCCCCGCGTCGGGCTCTGGGCTGATGGCTCAGAGCCTGGAGCCTGTTTCTGATTCTGTGTCTCCCTCTCTCTCTGCCCCTCCCCCGTTCATGCTCTGTCTCTCTCTGTCCCAAAAA